ATGAAAAATGAAAGCTCGCCTTTTATTTATTGTGGCCTAAAAACATTTTTGAGATTCTGTTGGTTGGCATTAAGGAGACATGATCATACCCAGGGTGGGGATACATCGTAAAAACATATCTCTATCGATCATCATCCACAGACATCGTTATTTATGTTCAGCAACATTTTATGTACCTGTCGTAAAATCAATTTGTGTAGATTTTCACGGTCGTGCTGCTGTGTAGCCTTCCGATGTGTTTTTGGCTCGTACCGCGTGCCGATCGGCACGATGTCCGATATTTCACTCCACGTGTTCCTAAAGCTCCCAGAACGCGGAGCAAGACATCAGACATCGTGGCAAAAAAAAAAAAATCACCCTCGTAGCGTGGTAAAATATCTTCCTTGAGAATTGACAAAAAAAAATCTACGGGATGTCACTTATATATCCAGATTCAGCCTTCTCATAGAATCCTAGATTCCACGCACAGCTTACCTTGCTGGGATGAATTTTGTAAACATCACGAAACAAAACTTAAACGTTACAGGTCCGGTGAAATCGGATGCGCTCGTCTCCACTACGCGAAGTAGGCGGTGCGAGGGTTAAATGGATTTTTTCCCTCCGAAATCTCTCAAAGAATGTACATCCGTGAGAGGCTCTCGAGCCAAAATGCTGCGGCTGAGACAGAAGAGGAGGTGCTTTGTGCGAGCGCACGGATCCTGGGTGCACGCCTGCAAAGAGCACGCACCTATAATCACTTACATCTGTTTACCCTGGGACTCTCTTTGCATTTGCCTTGTCCTAACATTACCAAGGGGGTGGGAGGCGTGGGGAAAAAAATAGAGGCTGGAGTTCAGAGGGAATTGGAAAGGGTGAGTAGGAGAGGAAGAGAGGAACCAGAGAGAAGAGGTGGGGGGGGGGAAAGGGCTCACGATCTTTTGCCTTGTCGAGTGGGATTGCAGTCGCTCAACCGGGCAAGGCTCCATGCGTGTTGTTTGTTTTATTCTTCCTCCGGCTCAGACGCAGGGGCTGCTCTTAGGATGCAAGACCCTGCATCTAAACCATGCCACTTACCGTAAGCCACCACGCAGCAGCATGTGCCCTAAGACGACAAAGCGACAGGATATTGTCAAAGTTCGTAGGTTTTCGCAGATGCGCCGCTGTGCGGCTCCAGCCGATGAGTGTTTGGGTTGTGGCCACTTGTTGTTCGGCACGATGTCCGACGCTTTGTTCCACGTGCTCCGGCAGCGTCTCCCCAAAGCGAACCGAAGAAGCTCCCAGCACGTGGAGCGGAACATCGGACACCGTGCCGAACAGCACGCGCGTGCGCGACCAACCGTGAACACACGCACCGGAGAGCTGTGGAATGGTTAACAACTTTCCAAAAAGTGTACGCGCAAAATTAAATGTAACTGAAAGAGGCACAGCACAACGGCTGGAGTAGTTATTTATTTTAATACTTTCCTGGTAAATTATCCCAAGGTCGTGACCTCAGTTTGGTATTCATAAATGTTTCTGGCTTGGAGCCCTGATTTATTCATTTCTCGATGGGGTTTTTTTTCTCCCATTGCCACCACCTCAGGCGTGGCTTGTACATGCTTATTAAATGCTAAAATAAACGCCGTATTAAGTCAAATAACCACGTTAATAATGCGCCCATGCATCATTTGTCAGTCGCATATTGGAACAGCAGGGGTACCCCTACTGGCAGTTCTCGAAATGTAATTTAAAAATGCTTTGAAATTTCATAAATTGACAGTCGGCAGCAGATTTGTGGAAAGCATTGCCCGTTTACTGAAAGGGGCCTTATTACTTTCCAAAACGAATGTTTTCGTAATGCCAAGTGGGAAAAATAATTGTGAAGTTAATTACAATGTGTTGCTCAAAGCGTTGCTCGTGTTTTTGCTCGGGGAAATAATCCACAGACCAACCTTTGTTATTTCCAGGAAACTCTCAACTGCTTTCTCTTTGGTTAAGAAAATAATAACTTTGAGTTAACTAAAAAAAACGGCAAAGGCGCAGCCCCGCACGTCCTTGCTCCTGCCACCAATGTGGCAGTGGGGTCTCCACTAGGGGCGGGGGGGGCTCTAGAGAGCACCCCCACCCCTCTCCAGGGTATTTTGGCCTATTTTTCCATGCTGGTCAGACGCATCAGATGCGCTTCAGCTGCCGTCTGGAACGCTCTTCCTTCCGATATTAGGAAGCCACTGGAGCTATGCACTTTTAAATAATCTAGATTGAAAGCTGATTTAATAAGAACCGTTTTTTTTGTGTTTAGTTTGTTACCCTTACCGCACACCTCCGATTAGCACGGTTGGCTACGTACGATGCGAAATAATTTCAGCATACATACTAACGAGTTGGAAGAGGTGGGAGCACGCAAACTTTACCCTCACCCCACGCGACCTGCCAATAGACACACCGTGGCTGCATACAAATGTATACTGCCAGCTGGACAGAGGCGGGAGGGAATTTAAGTAACTTGCGTCACTGCTACAACTAAATGTTTATTAAACAAAAGTGTCACGGCTACTTCATGTACCAAACACCCATCGTCACTGTAACCTGTATAATGCTGTGGACCTTCAGGTGGTCCTGTTATCACTATTTCATCATCGTCATCGTCATAAGCCATCTTCTGTCCAATGTTGGATTAAAGGCCTCCCCACGGCGTCACCAACATTCGAGGTCTCGCGATGCCACAATTCATATCACGCCTGAACGAGCTGACACATTCACTCCGTCTCCGTGGTGGTCATCCTCTTCTTTTCGCTACCACTCCATCACGATTTCCATCCATCCAGCGATCATCATCCCTTCTCGCTAGCTCAACATGATTGACTTAACTTCCACATGTAATCTTTCATCCATGTTGACCTCTGTCTCGTAATGCAATGCCAAACATTTGTTGCATTTTCCTCGTCGGTATCCATGGTTCTGATCCATATGCAGCTATGACAATATCTCTTCTTTAGACACATTGGTAAGTTGCTTTTCATGACCAAGTTAATTTTTTCTCTCTCAAAAGTACTCCAACCCACTCTCATTAACCTATTAAATAACTGCCCCCAGGTTATATTTGTTACTTTTTATTGTCATTTTCATGACCTCCGGCACACTCATCCTCATCTCTTGAGTTCTCAGTGGCTGGTTAAACACAAAGTGTGAAACTTGAAACATATTATGCCGTGTTTTCCATTGGTTACGATATATGCTATCAATCAGATTCATGAACAGACAAGTGAATAAGAAACACCTTTGTGCTAGGCTTTCATCGACTATGAAATACATTTTGGTTCATGAACACTGATACAGTTACCCTACGCTCCTACAACCACGGCTTTGATTAAAACATACAAATTATGAAAAACATTTATTGAAATGGAACAGGCTCCGCGAAATTCGAACATATCTTGTAAAATTTGATTGCAAAAATAATGACATGAACACAAATGGAAAAAGTATCAACCATCTCAGATATGCTGATGACATAGTCATTACAACAGCCAATACAAATTAATTGTAGGATATAATTGAACAATAGGAAATGATCTTTGTGGATATATGAGAAAAGAATTGGTTTAAAAAATGTGGCCATTCAAGGATGGAAACATAAAAGCACAATTAAGAATAACAGCAACAACTATATAATGTAGGTTACAGGCCCACAGGAATATTATAGGCCAAGGACAATTGCTTGCAGACCTTTGGAAGACTGTTATCGCAGTCTGAAGGAAATATTCGTTTCCAAAATCACAAAGTGCAAGCGCTGCTCTCTCGGCAAGTGCACAGGAGGAGGGGGGGGGAGTCGAGAAAGCCGAAGTCTCGGTACTTTTTACAACACTGCCTGCGTTGCATGGGGGTCCTGTAAAATAATGATTTTGAGTGACCGCGGGATTCTCATTAATTCTCTAGAAATTCTTCCCCTGAACTTTAGTACAGTTGGGAAAAACGTTCAGTCTTTTGCTTAGGCCGTCTTTATTTTCTTTATATATAATTCCATACGTGAAAGGAAAGGGAGCGATCCATGCACCCCCCGCCACCACCCCCTTCAGAAGGCTGCACTTTATTAAAGCAAGAGGCCTTACTTCCACCACCACTACCACGACCACCACCACGACCACCACCACCGCAGCTGTCTCCACCTCCTTTTGTCACCGGTCAAGCAAAGCGACCCGCGCGCAAAAAGAAAACGTGCAGCGAAAGGGAAAGAGGCTTTTTTTGTTGTTGTTGCGTGGTTGCAGCCCTGCTGAACTGGTTACACGCCAGCTCACAAAGCCCACTTGGAGAGCGATGGTTGAGGGCGGAGGGGGGGGGGTAGCGGCAGTGGTGGTGGTGGTGGGGGAACCCCGCGGGGGATTCTAAAGGAAAGGGGACGGAGAGATGGGGGCGGCGAGTCAGCACGAAACTAAGAAAAGTAGAGAAAAGGCCGTAGCCGTGCATGGGTAGGGCTGCGTCGGGATGAGGTGGCTGAAGGGGTACGGTGGGACGGGGGTGGAAACGGGGTCGGGTTTGGGGGGTGTTTTTTTATTTAAAAAAACGGAATGTGTTTTGACACTCAAGGAGGTCCTTAAGGGCCTCGTGGTTAATTCCCGAGGTCATCTGCCCAAGGTGAGGCTCCTTTTCAAGAATCTTCTCCGCTCGGTGTTGATGTTGTCCCTTGTCGGGTTTCTTTTTATTGTTTTGTTGCTGCGTTGGCTCATCGTGACGGAAGACGGCAGTGCATGGGATTTCACGCATTCGAGTTTTAAATTCCATTTTTTTAAATCAAATTCAAACAATTGTATATTTTATATTTGCATATTTATAAACATGCAGCCAATTGACTCCGTGGTAGTGTGGGCGGCTCGCAAAAGGAAGACGGTGAGCTCCAATCCTGGTTAGGAGTTGACTCAACCAATCATCTCTCACTCCCGGATCGACAACGTTAGTACCGCTTTTGTGGGTAAATCAAAAGTGGTTGTCCTATGGAGATACTCGCCCCGACCATAGGAATGTGGAATGTCCACCACTGGCTTACGGCTCTAAATAGGATATGAGCACAGCATCAGTGCGTTGAGGCGTTGTTAATAACTTTGACAATTTCAACATAAATAAAAGCAACTAGTTGCAGAGAGCGCAATGATCAATCACATTGTGTTGTTGTGCAGCCTGAGCTCTTTGTGTGAGGCAGGGCAGCGCGGTGGCAAGACTCTTGTGTGACATAAATAAGTTACCATACCTAGGTTTTATTCCCGACACGAGTGCCTCTTTGTCTCGAGAGTGCATGTTCTCCCCCTCTCCGCCGTGGGTTCCCTCCAGTGTCCCTGGTTTGCTCCCATAGCTAAACACACACAATGGCATTGCTGTTAGACAAACTTCCCAATGCAGAACCTTCCTGATAAACAGTCTGTGGGATCTCAATGTGACTTTCCTGCGTAGATAAGTAATATGTAAAGTCAGTGAATAAGGAAATATATCTAAACCCGGATCCCTTTCAAACGGGACAATATGCCTACACGGAGCGAAACGCCCCAGGTAAATAGCTCCCCGTCACCTTTGTGTTCCACGTTCGCCTTTCCAGTGCACCCTGTGTTTACACACCAGACATAAGTGACCAAGGTTACGTGGGAGCGTACTTGCAGATTTGTCTCTCAGCGACCGGAGGGGGGGGGGTCTGTGACATTATTATACCTTCATGTTGGGATGATAGAGAAAGTGGTCGTGCATTCTTCACATGTTTTACTTGAGATCCGTCTTCTCTGTAAGGGCCATTAAAGTCGTTTTTTTATATGTCAGCACGTGGTTGTAATGTGTCGACGTGAAGAATAATAATAATAATGATGATGATGATGCTACTGTCAAAGTTGTCTGTCACTTTTGTCTCTCCAATCAAATTCATAATGGAGATCCCCTCATCCCCAATGGTGGCCTTGAGCCAGTGGTGGAAATTCCACATTCCTATGCTGGGAGCCAGTCCTTTCAAAAAACCCACTACTGAATAGTATTGATAAAAATTGTAGAAATTGCAAACAAGGAGTGATTAGCATCAGACGCTGTGCGCCTGTTGACGTCTCGGAAGCTAAGCAGGGCTTGAGCATAGATAGGGTTTGGATTGGTGACCACAATGCATAACAGGTCTTATAGGCGGGGGCTGGCTACATGCTAAACAACAGACAGATTGTAGAAAAAAAATGTGGACTGTACTTCTATGCTGCCAGGTCTATCGTTCTCGCGTTCACTAACTCACACTGACCAGCGTGGTGAAGTATGGTCAAATAACCCCCGTGATCTGCACTTCATGGGAAGGCCCTCATGCAGCAGTGGATTGACTCAAGAGTTGTACATGTGCATGTTATTGTCTAGAATAAGGTCTTGGTTGCTTTGCGTGCGCCGCATCAGAATAACTGCTCAGATATTGCGCATAAATCAGGGCTCATGCTCATATTGGAATATGACATCATTTCTCCTGTTTGTGTAGTCATTACCATGAGTTATTATTATTTTTTCCTAATGCGCACATTCATACGCGCGTGTGAGCCTTATGCACTCAGGCAAATGTGCACTTGCACACAAACAATGCAGGCAGGTGCATGCACACACAACAATGATAGACAAAGATCCCCCATATAGCTTTTACATAATTTTGGGGCAAAGTGCTGTTAGCGAGTATTACCTATGAAGGCCGGCACAGCACACGAGGGGGTGGGTCGCCAGCACCCTGCCAGGCCGCCTTAGCCTACATAGCGGTAATGTTTACACACCGCACAAGTCGATCTAGGGGAGGTCCGGAACGGCTTCAAATAATCGTCACGGATGGTGGCCATGAGCGGGAAACGAATTCGGGTCACCGGGTTCGTAGCGCAGTGCGCTGACCACTACACTACCGCTCCCCACACACATACACACATAACCACACGCGCACACACGCGTATGTATTTACACAGAACCATCCTCTTGGGCTTATGCACATTCGTGCGTGTGCATTGGTGTACCTTCAATGAGCGGCGTGTAAGCATCTGCACTGGGGAGACAAAGGTGGGCAGGCGTGGTGCTGGCCATACCCCCAGCCTCGTAGACCGTGCCAACCTTCGTAGGCTCTACTCGCTCGCGGCACTGGCCCCAGAGAGTCTGTTGAAGGCGATACACGGGGGGGGTGGGGGGGGTGGATCTTTTTCTTTGTGTATGCATGCACCACGCACTCAAATGCACTTGCGCACACACACACACAGACACAAGCGCGCATATCCACACACGCAAATGCTTGCATGCACATCGCGCAGGCGACTCGGATAAGCCTCCTTGTTGTGCGGTTTTCACTGAACTGTGTGACATCTGTCAATACACGGTCGAGGGAGAGGGCCGCCTGCCCGTTGCAGCCAAAGGAACGCTCCATTGAAGGCTTTGGGCCAAAGAAAGCGAGGAGTTTGTGAAAGGGGGCTTATGCCGCCAACAACCCCGCCGCCGCCGCCGCCGCAGTTAAATTTGAAAGCGAAGAAAGAAGCTCAAAAAGGCGAACCAAAAAGGGGGCAGAAAATCCGAGCAAAAATCCCACTTTGTCGCAGAGGCAAAGGTTGGCGTCAGCCAGCGACACGCGTAGTTGTAAACCGATAATAGGGAACGGCCTCTCACCAAATTACATGGACGGGGGGCTCCCAGCGACAGGGCGATGCGCACACCGCTCCCGCTCGCCGACGCGACGCGGCTTGACCGACCGCGCTTTGAGCGGGCGACACCGCGGGCCGTGAGTCGACGCCGTCGTCTGTGCGTGCCCCGTGCCTATCTTGTGGCTCACGTCGGCGGGCTCGAGGGCACCGAAGCTGAATGTGCGACACGGCGAGAAGAAGAGCAACAGCAACAAAACAAGATGAGATCATTAAAGGGTGAAATGGGTATGCAGTGGTTTTGGTGGAAGTTTATCTGAAGGAGACATTTCGTCGCCAGGAGATATCACGGTAACAACTGTCCCTCCCAGGCCTGCCTGGCCAACCCCACTTAGTCCCTGCATTGTGTCCACACACCCTGCGGTTCCATTTCAACATTCCTTGCTCCCACTCTGCACCCCTTCAGGCCATGGCGAGCGAGCACGGGAAAGCAGCACTAACATCACGTCATCTCTTGTAAATATAAAATGGCCAAGATCGCCCAAAAGTGGTCCTTTGAAACGAGCCAGCGATTCACTTTATGAGCTGATATTTTGGAAGGTGGGAAAAAACAGAGTATACGCGTATCATTTTCAGCCCACGGTCAAGAATTTTAAGCTTACATCTTGAGTAAATTTTTGTTGGTGATGATTAAATCAAGATGCCGTATCTTGGGTAATCATATACATTAGCTCACCATAAAAGGCATTTTCACTCTTTGAGGTTTGAAAGTGCTGAGATGAAGCTTTATTTCATAAATAATGGGGCCCGGGATGCAGGCTTTGGGCCCAGGGTGATTCGTGTGGCTGTAACAATGCATCGATTCATTGGTTTAAATTGGCTCTTACGCTTACGATGTGTGCATTGAATCGAGAGGGTGAAAATTAATTATTTTCAATTCTTATATATGGTCGTGCAATGGTTTTACTTGACACCTCCAGTCCCTAGAGGCGCTAATTGCAAAAATATTTCCATAAAAAAACGTTTTATTCATCATGCATAGAATCCCAGCTCCAAATCATAACAATTCATTAAATCGACGAACCACCCGCTGGATTATGATCTTCTCAACTCGCCACGTGCTCGTCTCGCACCGCCATCACGACGCCCACTGCGATCCGAACCTTCCGCCGCTCAACTCCTCAACAGTATCTCGGACGCGGGTTAAAATTGGCCCTCGCCAAACGCGATTTGACCTGCAACGTCATTGTGCATGGGCACTGCTGAACCGTTACTGCCCCGGACAAGGTCAATGTGTGACCAACGAGGCCAGATGCAGCCTCCGGGACAGCCCAAAGTGTACATGGGGATACGGACGGGCTATGATGCATATTGAGGAGACGGGAGAGGTACAGGCTATGATGCATATTGAGGAGGAGGTGGAGGATGTGGAGGAGGAGGTTTGGGTTCTGAGCAGGCTGGATTCAGGGAGCGAGAGGGCACTGAACACTGCCGACGATGAGGTTGTTGCCTGGCCCAGTCAAGTACGCATACGTTAGAAGTAGAATGATCATTTCGCCAAGGGGACGAATAGTTACATCCCCCATGATTTGGTCTGAAACGCAAACTCGGCATCTTTGTCGCGTGGTGGTGGTGGTGGTGTTGTGGTGTCTTCTCACTGAAGCAGAGTGGCTGCGCTATGAACCCGGCGACCCGAGTTCCATTCCCGATCACGGCCACCACAAGTGACGATTATAATCTGACCTCGTCCTGGACCTTCATAGGTGTGTTGTGCCGGTCTTCGTAGGTGCTCGCTCACAGCAACTTGCCCCGAACAGTCTGTTAAATAATTTTTAGGAGGATCTTTGTCGTTGTCTTTTTAGTGATGGCGGCAGTGGTGGTGGTGATGGTGCTGGTGTCTTCTGACCAAAGCGTGCAAGCTCTCAGGCGGGATGTCGACAGCCGGTGTGACATGGCTGGGATGCCCAGATCCAGCGACGTTCTTTATTGCACAGGAGCAGGCCACTGTGTGCCAACGGGGTGTAGATAAGAACCGGACACTATTCAAGAATAATGGACATTTCACTATTTTCAAAAAGGGCCTCATAACATGTCCACACGGTTGTATTGTTAAGCGTTACATCGACATGTGAACAAATTAATCAATACAGATTAAAGCTGCCGCCATTTGCATTCTAATAAATAGGATAACTTTTAGAATACTGGGATTGTCAAATGATCTTTATAATACTCAAAAGTTTTACTCTAATGTTTCAGTTGAACTTTTGCAATAACATATCTTGGAACTTTATATGCTTTTAAAATCTAACTGTAAATTCCTCTATATTTTGCCTGTTTGCCTGTTTAGGCAAGGTAAATAGATAACAATAATTATAATAATTGGACCCAAGAGACAATAGCCTCTCACGCACACAGCTAGACTTAAATTAAAAATACACCACAAATAATCAATATATTTCAAAAGCACAGCAATTTTAACCGCGCGAATACACCACGGTTTAAGAATTCGAGCATGGGCACTCACGTAACTCTCATTTTAAAAGCGGGATTTTTTTTGCGGAGGGAAAAGTACCAAAGAGCTACCTGAGATTTACACATAGCTTGCACAGTGGCAGGCGAAAACGCGGAGAAACAATGTTCGTAATTGCACCACGCAGCAAATTACTCGGGGTGCGTGGAGGACAAAAACATGTCTCGTTACTTGCTACCTACGAACCTTTCTAGTCGCGCCCTTCCAGCCTGTCCAAAGGCGATTATTAAAATCACTGCTGATAGTGACCTGTCGCTTTGCAAGAAGCGGTAATAATTTCCATCTTGTGGCATGCGGGCACGGGATGGAGGGATGCACGCGGGAAGCTTTTTTTGGGCTTTTTTGGTGGGGAGTTGAGCGGGGGGGGGGGGTAAATGCCCCCCCCCCACCGCTCAACTCCCCTAGGGATTGGTGTGGGGAGCACAGAGAGGAGGTTGAACGCCGAGAGAAGGCCCTTGCTTAAAAAAAAAACACGCTGCCGCTTCCAAGCAAGGATGGAAATTAGGTTAATGAACGGCTGGTCTCGGTTTACCATGAACACTGGCTCCTTTCCAATGGGCTTGGGACTAATTTTGCTGAGTGAAGACCGCATGTTGATATGTATGCATGTGTGTGTGTGCACGTGTATGATGTGTGAGTGTGTGTGTGCACATGTGGCTCATAGTAGCTTAGACTGCAGAGTTATGTTATGCTGCGGTGGGCTATGAAATATTCAGGTTATCCACGTGGGATGCGGCCAATGGAGGTAAATGGTGAGTGGACATGTGCCAATGTAAGCAGATTGACTGCAAATGTTTCGGAAGGTACGCACCCCTCGCTTGGCTCATTTCGTGGGGCCTAGCTTCAAATTTCACGGTCAAAAGCTGAAAATTGCATAAATTGTTTATACTTTAAATAACTATAAAAGATAATATTACCTCGCAGGATTGTGGGAGATGGTAACAGCTTGGGCGGGGGGAGGGGGGGGGAAGCCCTTAATCCAGCAGTGGATTGATCATTGCTGCTGATGATAAATAAAATTAAATATCATTAAAAGATATGTTATAGAACAACTCAAAATATTATGCTGGTTTTAATCACAGCAATGATTATGATGATTATAGTCATCGAAATTGTGACCATTTGTTTTCTGTCCTTATTCGCACGAGTTGACAAGAGTCGTTTGAACCCTTTAAAGTAGTAAGCTAGCCTGCACGGAAAGTCACTCGACCTGACACTTTGGTGTAACATTTCAGGGCGTGCATCAAGGTGTGCCGTTGCAGGATCTTACACCAGGAGAATGCAGCGTACACAGAGAGAACCGCGCTATAGATGGGCACCGTATTCGCGGAATGCGAGCGAGTGTCTGCATATGCATGTGCTTGCGCGTCATTGTGTGTGTGTGTGCGATGTGGAGCGGGAGTTTAGTGGTTAGCGCATTGCGCCACGAACCTGGCGACCCGAGTTTGATTCCCGCTCACGGATAATAGCAGTGACGATTATCTGAACGGGTCATGGGCCTCCCCTAAGTCGACTCAGCCTCAAATGAGTACCCAGTGCGGTGTGTAAAAAAACATCACCACTGGGGAGACAAAGGCGGCCGCGTGTGGTGCTGGCTACCCACCCCTCATGTGCTTTATCGGCCTTCATAGGTGCTCGCTAACAGCACTTGTCCCCAACAGTATTTTCAGTCTATATGGGGGATCTTTGTCTTTGTGAGATCGCGTGAGCGTGTGTTTGTGTGTGGACAGCGCTAGCGTAATGGTTAGCGCGATGCGCTACGAACGCGGTCACCTGAGTTTGATTCCTACCCACGGCCATATGTATGTATATTGAACTTCTTTCACACCGTACTTAGCCAACCACGCTAATCGATTATCCGAACCAGTCCTGTACCTCCTCTAGGTCGACTCAGCTCTCAGATGAGTCAACTGGTACGGTATATAAACATTGCCACAAAGGCGTCCGGGCGTGGTGCTGGCCACCCACTGCCTCGTGTGCCGTGCCATCCTTCATAGGTGCTCGCTAACAGCACTGGCCCCAAGAGTCTGTTAAGGCTGTACGGGGGATCTTTGTCTTGTGCTCTCATGCATGTGTAAGCGCGCGCAGTGCACTTGTGAGTGCATGTTGGTGCGTTCGAATGTGTGTGCGTGCGCTCGTGCGCGTGTCAGTGCGTGTATTTTTGTATGTGGGAGGGCCTGCCAATCTCACACAACGTACAAGCATCGCATTGTTCCATGCGTTTTTTTTCCCTCCACTTTTTAACCATGATAAGCTGTGCTTTGTAGACGAGATAATTGGTTAAAGTTCAGTGCTGGTTGTCAGCCATATGGAATGCTCTTTGGGGCAAATTAAATCATTTAAAAAAAGTGAACTATATCAGATACATCATTAAAAATGAAACAGACATCATTTTTGTTTCTCAAGTGTTAAGTATTTTCTGTGCAATCTAACGACCGTATTGTCATGAAATTGCCAATTAATATGTGTGAATATCTTTGGAAGTGCAAAACAAAACTTTTTAACAGCCAAAGTATTTATACAATGAAACATGCTGTGCCGTATTTTTTTTACGAAAATATATTTTCTTTTCCATGTCACCCTGATTGCAGTAATCAAATATGGAAAATAAAAAGTTGGATTTCTAACCTTCAACCTCTAGTCTAATGGCATGTGAGAACGATTGTATTTATCTGTGCCATAAATGCACACAGAGTGAAAAAAATCCCCGTGGCTGCGCCAATGTTGCCCCCAAAATCTTCCCGACGACCCTGCTCTCCCGCACCATTCCCTTGTTTGATCCTGGCCGGCCGGCCGGGTGGGTGGGTGGGTGAGTGGGTGGGCCTGGTTGTCCCACCCCGCGA